TCTCTTGGTGTTGCTCATTTTTTGTTTAGTATTACGTAATAGGACGGCCCCGAAGTTCGTGTGTGCCAATGTATCTAACATTTGTGATTTTCACTACATCTTTTGGGACTATATAAATTCGGACCACTATATCTACGGCAATAACACACCCGACTCCCTGAAGTATCATTACGTAACAAAATCTATAAACTTTGATCTTGTAAATTTAAGGGATTACATAAAGGTCAAAATCCAAAATCGGCTAAATTGGATAACGTTATGTTAGTTTGAGATGGAATTATCGTGATTTCTGATTTTTTCTATTACTGTACTTGATATAGTAATATTAAAAGTAGCTTAAATAGCATTATACCTGAGTGGGTGAAAGTTCCCGGACAGGGACTATTTCCGCTAATATAAAAATATATGGGCTTGGTGCTGAGAAAAGGGACAATTATCTCGTGAACTATTAATTAGAATTACATGATTTTGATATTATTCGATTCGTCTCGATGAGAGGAATCGAATAGCACCAAAAAAAATCATGATTCTAATTAATAGTTCATGAGATAATTGATTTTTTGTGAAGAAATTCTTTTTGTCAATTTGGTCTCTTTTCTCAGCACCAAGCCTATATACTTTATTTATACTAGCGGAGATATTAAAAAAGGTCTCTGCCCTAAGACTTCTCACCCACCCGGGTATTAGTTTGTATTGGAATTATCGCGATTTCTGATTTACTTGCTACTTGCTATAGTAAATTTTCGTGATTTCTGTTTTCTGTTTTTGTATTTACTATGATATAAATAGTTTAAGTGTTCCGTGCTATTCCGAAATTAAACATCCGAAAATAAAGTACCAAGACCCGCTCTATGCCAATTTCGGCCTGCATTATAATGCATTTACATGCAAAAAAGGGTTCCTAAAATTGCGAATATATAGTACACACACAAGTAAAAAAAAAAAAAAAAGCAATCCACATATAGATTTGATTTACCTACGTGCGTAGATATCGTACAGCACCCAATATGTCATATCATACATGACTAGATAATGGGAATGATCAAGTATCAAATCGACAGTAATATCGATATAATAATTATCGTATTGAAAATGCAGAACTTTTAATTGACCCAACGTCACAAGATCGAAAATTTTCTTTAGACGGGGCTAGTTTACATTGTAAGACAAATTTTAAAGCAAAAAACATGATATAATACGAACATTAATGTGGTATTATAATAATAAATCTAAACAGGTACAGAAACTAGTTTGCAAGAAAAAAAAAAAAAAAAAAAAACTAATTCACATCTCTCGGTCGGGGAATTGAACCCCGGTCTCCCGCGTGACAGGCGGGGATACTAACCACTATACTAACCGAGATTTCCGTTTAAAAGTTTTTTAAATTAAAATATTAAAAAGATTTTTTTAAAAAGAAATTCTTTTTTTACATCAAAATATAACGAATAAGTTCAGAAGTTGAAATTATGTCTTTATCATCTAAATCTTAGCCCTTTACATTCTAAGCAAAGTCTGCGGAAGAGCCAATGAATTTTGTAAATTGACTGTTCTCGTGATGATCTGCAGTCTCAGAGATTTGATTACGTTAATTCTTTAACGTCAAGACCATATTAAAACATACGTAGCTTCATTCATTAAGAGGCAAAAGGATAAACTTGAGATAAAAATTTACGCACCGATTAAGTTTCATGCTAAGAGCTACATGTTTCCTCTTGGCATCATCTCTTATTTATTCACCTGAGAGTGTAAACAAACAGTAACCTCTAAGTGCTCGCATCGAGACCAGACTTTAAACGATATGCACTTAGAGAACAATAAGAAAAAAATACATTTATGGAGGTCATGTATATATTTGGGCCAGAATCTGAGTGTGCATTTAAGGAGGGTGTGCACTTATAGAAGGTAGGTGCACTTAGAGAGGTTCACTGACAAACATAGCATAAAACAGAAAAATATATTTTGCATAAATTTATTTATTTATTTCATTTGATTACAGAAATTCACGAATTATCATAATAGTTATCGTTATTGTGTGACAAAAACAATAATTTATAATTTCCCAATTCTTTGGGACGTTTATTCGGACTAAATTTTATTCAATTTTTTTTTTTTGGAACATTAAGATTTAATACAGTATATATTAAAATTTAATACGTTTGCATATTCTAATCAATTTAAACAAATTGAATCCGACAAATCTAGATCGATATTGAATTGATATATAATTTTTACGTAAAATAATGATGATAAAAATAATATTATCAAATAATTATCAATTTTGAGTATATTCGGCTCAGTTTATTTTGATATTTTATAATATATATAAGAATATTGAATCTATTAATAAAAAAGCTTAGGTGAAAGGCTGAATGTACAAATAATTAGAGGAGTTTTATTTACGGAGAATAATTTTAAGCGCCATTAGAGGGAAGGATTGGGATATAGTGTGCATTTATAGAGTGTGTTTTGGAAGAGTATCATACAAATTTATATAAATTTGGTACATAAATCATAAAGAAAACAAGTTTAAACGTTAGGATAAAGAATAATACGTGTTACTGAATAGATTTTTTTTTAAAATATACATATATATATATACAATCTTCAATGTGAACAAATAATTTTAGTGGTTTAAGATTATCATTATACATGCATACTGGCGCATATATGTAAACCCGTTTTAATTTGTCCGATTTATAGTATGTTAGAAGAATCGAGGAGGCGGAAAAACTATATTAAAAGATATTATTCGTATAAAAATAATGCATATATTAATGTAAAACACGAAACTGAATTGAACCTTAAGGTATGTACATATAGCATTACATATGCAATAATATTTGATATTTACGGAAGCAGCGGTTCGTAAATAGAATTCGGATCTTGCGACACCTAAATTTGATACATTTTAAGTAATTAAGATATTTAATTTTGTAGATAAAATATGTTTATCGCGAATATATACAATTATCGTTATATTATCTTGTGATTTAAGTTTGAAAAACATGATTAAAGATGTAAAACAGACCGGTATGACCCGACTCTTCATAGACTAAAGTAAAGTCATATGACATAAGTTTTTATTTATGTTATACAAGTCACCAAATTTAAAAGGCATTTTGTGTTACTGGCTAAACATGGAAGATATCATGTATATCATACTCACTATATATAAACATATTTACGTCGAAAAGAGCATTAGATTAACTTTAAAGAAATTCATTTGGAATTACAAAGTGGGCTGGCTTTTTTTGTTTGATTTGGGTTTGAAACATTGGCACTACTACCCTTTTTACCAAAATAATCGAAACTATCATTGATTCACTCTCTTTTGCATGAGATAAACTGATGATTTATCAAAATCGAATCGGAAAGCATTCTCAGATTCTACCAAGTAGTTTTTGATCAAATTAAAGAAATAGAGTTCAGAACTAATATCAATAATACTCAATAATGAATATATAAATAAAAAAAAATCTCTATAAGAATGACGCCAATCGAAATTGAATTTTAATGCATGAATTCTATTTGTTAATTTTACTATAAAAAATAATATAGTTTTGTGATCATGTGATTTGTGAAAAACTTTACTCAGACGGTAATCAATAGTTACTCACATGCTACTGTTATTTGCTGGTACGTAAATACATAAATATATACAAAGGTACACGAGAAACAAATCATTAATAAGGAAATATATTTTCGCGACTTATCAACATTTTCTGGAATTTAAACATTACGAATACAACCAAAGACAAATTAATTGAATAGCCAAAGACATAAAAATCCATCTTCAATTAATTTGACAGCCAAAACTTAAAAAATCTATATTTCAATTAACTGAACGATCAAAGCCATAATTTATTTTCAACTATATAATTTCATTTATATTTATTTAGGCGACTGATATTTCCACACCTCTTTTTTGATATTTCCACACCCATGTAGATCACTTTTTTAAAAAACTTTAATCGAAGGTATCTCGCCGACCACCTGATCAAATTCGGTGAATTTTTTTATACAAGTATGCAGAATTTAAATAAAAAAAATTTCATCGAATTTGATCCGGTGGTCGTCGAAATACCTTCGATCAAAGTTTTTAAAAAAATCTAAGCGTCTATCAAAATAATAGCCGCGGCAAAATTTTCTCTAACTTTGATTGAAAGTATCTCAATAACCACCTGACCAAATTCGATAAAATTTTTTTTATTGAATTCTGCATAATTGTAGATATAATAATAAAAATTTCATCGAATTTGATCCGGTGTCGTCAAGATACCTTCGATCAAAGTATTTTAAAAAAATCTAAACGTCTCAAAATAACAGCCGCGGCAAAATTTTCTCTAACTTGATTGAAGGTATCTCGATAACCACCTGACCAAATTCGATGAATTTTTTTTTATTTGAATTCTGCATAATTTTAGATTCTAATAAAAAAAATTTCATCGAATTTGATCCGGTGGTCGTCAAGATACCTTCGATCAAAGTTTTTTAAAAAAATCCAAACGTCTATCAAAATAATAGCTGCGGCAAAATTTCTTCTAACTTTGATTGAAGGTATCTCGATAACCACCTGACCAATTCGATGAATTTTTTTATTTTATTTGAATTCTGCATACTTGTATAATTCTAATAAAAAAAATTCATCGAATTTGATCAGGTGGTCGGCGAGATACCTTCGATTAAAGTTTTAAAAAAAAGTGATCTACATGAATGTGGAAATATCAGTCGCCTATATTTATTTATCATGAAATTCATGAAATGTCAGTATATGGTATAAATTCCAGAATTCTCACATTCTTTTTACTGTAAGAGACGCGACTTTTTATACCAAAGAAATAAATTTTGTTTTTTTTATGATGGATTTTCAACTAAGAACTAAGATCTGGATACAATAAAAGAAAAGAAAAGAAAAGAAAAAAAAAAAAATGTAGGAGCTTAATTATTATTAATGTTAACATAATTCATTTAACTTATTTATTCTTAAATTTTCAATATTTCTAACTATAACCGTTAAAAACCTCAACTTTCACTTTTCTGTCCATTTTAACAACTTGCTCTTCAAAAGTCTCCATTTCCCCATCTTCATAAACTTGATATCGTTTTTCATAGTATATGATAAATTCTTCGCACGTCTCATATTTTTTTAGGATTTCTGGTGATGTTTCCGATCGAACTATCATCGTTGAGGTCTTTTTGACATAGTATTTAGAAGAAATGTGATCGTCGGTTTGTTCTTTTGTCAAAGATTCACTTGGATTTATAGGATTTTGATGGATAACGGTGGACAAAGGTGTTGCAACGATTGGTTCATTCTGGGATTGGTAAAGGACTATTGAACCACATGGTATTTCCTCATTTTGTTCAAAGTTTTGACAGTGTCGAGGTGTTACATTTAATTGATATGATCCAGGAGTTGCAAATCCTGCTTGATCACACTCGGTTTTTTCACATGATATAAATTTATAGCACGAACAATTATTATCATTAAGTGAGCAATTTGAAGTTTCGACCAGCTTTTGAATTTGCGGATTTGAATTGTTCATGTAATCTGTATTTATGGAAATTACTCCATTATCTAATTGTGTATTCCCAAAAGGTTCCATATAATGATCTTGATCATTGTGAATTCGATAATCTGACGCGTAAAGAGATTGTTGAGTAAAGTTTGTTTCTGTTGGAATGGTAGCAATAAACGTAGAATAAGCGTTTGAAGGGTATGTTGGTTGATTAATATCATAATAATAGTTGTAATTGTTTATATTTTGTTGAGACATGTTATTCAAGTTATTAACTTCAAGTCGTAGAATAAAAGAAATGCTTATTTTATTAATTTTATAAAATTTTAGGTTGAAAATTTTTAACATAAAAGAGTTTAATAAAATTTTTAAATATATTTCTTCTAGAAAGAAAAATGTTTCCGAGGAAATGTTTCTGAAGTAAAGAAAAATAAATATCTTTTTGATACCTTCTTTTTTCTTGCAGCGATAGCACAATAATAAATATGCTAGTTTGCTTGCTCCTTAAATCAATCTTATATATACTTATATATACTATTGGGTTATAAATATATGGTCTAATACTAAAATGTAGTATTTATGGCAATTTTAATGGAAAACAAATTTGGATATTTGCAATCTTTTTTAAGCCTTAAAGTTAAAATCGAGTTATTGGGCCTCGTGCATAACATGAACGCGAGTATGTTATTCAGTACAAATATATTAGAGTGTTATATCACGTCTACTACATGTATGCTGTGATAATTGTGTGAACATTGAAGTATAAATGTTCAACTATGATTTATTTATTAAAATTCGGTGTTCCAATTCCAATCATTTGTATGAGTCGATTAAATTATAATTTATATTGTAATTACTGTTCATTTAACTAAATGAAATTACAAATAAAAATTAGGATTATCAGCTGGATTTATTATCTTTTATACTTAATGAATTTTGGTCTAACTTATCATTGTTTTTATTTTTGATAAATAAAAACTTTATTAAGAACCAAATTTTATTCTTTGGAATCATAAATGATAGGATTTTTATTTGATCATTGTTGAGTGTACACATACACAAATACGTGTTAAATGATCATCAATTGTTAGTTTGCACAAAATTTACTATTGTGCATATAATTTTAATAATTTACACCTATTGTAAATTCATGATATGCACAAAGTTTTTTGTGCAAAAAGTTTTAGTCACTAATTTTTCTTATCCCTCTTTATAATCACGCCTTCTGGACCGTAATTGCTTTTTTAAATAGTTCTTTAAATATATTTATATGCGTGCGCACTTACTTATAAGGAGATTATAGCTATGTACAATTGCTTTACATAATATATAATCTATAATGTAATACCGCTTATCGATATTTATTCATCATTATATAACTTATTGTAAAAAAATTCGTAACATACAGTATTAAAAGTTTACACCAAATAGATTGTATATATGTATATTTATAAATATATGTGTATTTATTATTATCGAATTATTATTTATATTAAATTTTATTAATCTACCATCCGGAATATTGCTGTTATATATCCAATATTTTGTGAAATGTTTCACATGGTTTCATGGAACATGAGTGTGGCCTGATCTCAAAAACTCGGGTCCGTGTTCAAAATCCAAAGGTCCGTGGATAGTTCAAATTTTTAAGCTAATTCGCCAAAATTATGGAAAATCTGTATAGTTACCCTTATAATTAACATCAAAATTATAAACAAGCTTTTCATAGTTAGTGTTATTTGGATTCATCGTCATGGGCCAATCATAGACCGTGGATTGATTGTTATAGACTGGGCTTGGATCTACTGCATCCAATCCAATGTATAGTTTTAAATTATTTGGGACGCCCACAGCAGGGATGGGTCTATAATATACCTACATTTGTTATAGGTGTCCCCAAATAATTGGTACTGTATAGTTCCGAAATTAAGCACCCTTTTTTTGTTATAAGAGGTGCTTATTTTCGGATATAATTTTAAGAATAAAAAATATAGAATTTTTGTACTAAGTAACTTGCCTTCTGTTTCTAAGTAAAACTGTTCCCCATGTCAAGACGATTCTAACGGCAGTAAAATCATAAAAATTTGCCCAGTAGAACTTTCGCAATTCTCTTCAAAATTTGGGCGACGTTTGTTTACGTTTGCTTTACATGATCTGCATACTCGTAAACAAAAGTCGCACGAACTTTGAAGAGCAATTGTGAGAGTTCTACTGAACCAATTTTGATGATTTTACTGCCATTAAAATCGTCTTGACTTGGCGAATAACTTTACTTAGAAACATAAAGTAGGCTTGCTTGGTAAAAAATCAGTTATGGTTATACATAGGGGTACTTATTTTCGGATATTACATAAAATTTGATGGTGCTTAATTTCGGGGGGTGCTTAATTTCGGAACTATACGGTACATATTTTTGCCGGACTTTGAAATATCTAACCCAGTCTGGCCCATGCGAATTAATTTTACATATATGAGTGCTTCAAAGGCAAAACCCGTAAGTAAATATTTACCACTATGGAGAACTTAAACCCTGGGAAATTGTAAGTTACGTACTAAATCACATATAAGTACCGCCAAAATGGAGAACACTGTTCATTAATGTGTGAAATTCAATTTTGTTTTATGTTTTCACTACATATTTTTCGTCCCTGAAGTTCTCAAAATTTTCTAGTTTTTCTCAATATAAAAAAATTAATTTGTGGGATGGAAAACTGCTGTTCATATGAGTGCCGTCAAAAAAAAAACCTGTCATCGGACTTTCAATTATATTTTGTGTACAGTTAACCGTCTATGGATTTTCCATAGACGACTAACTGTACACAAAATATAATTAAAAGTCTGATGACAGGTTTTCCTTGACGGCATTCAATGCGTGATATTATAAATTTCAGGGATTAAATTCGCCATCGTGATAAATATTTATTTAAGGTTTTCTTGGCAGCATTCGTATACTGTGTTTAATTTTAACATAAATATCTAATTTTCAACTTGAAACTGAAGCTTTTTTTTTTAAAAAAAAAAACTTTACAATCATATTTTGGATTAAACAGATAATACAAACGCTAATATATATATTGATTAAATTTTATAAATCTTCACTTAATATAGGTAATTCTGTTAATAAAATATAATTTAGAATTTAACTGTTGCTAAATTTTTACTCTAGTTATAAAAAACAATTAGACGGATTATACAATTATATATATATAACTAAAAAAAAAAATTGATTTTAAGCAAAGTTTTTAACATTTAGTTTTATATACTGTATATTTAACTTTTTATTTTAATTTAAAATTAATTTAATTTAATTTTTTAATAAATTAATTAGTTGTCGAATATGTATTAAATTTTTATAATGTGTTTAGATTTTTATATAATTAAAAAAAAGTTTACTAAAATGTGCCTATGGTGCTAAACACCATAGATGCTATTTTTCAAAAACGTACTAAGTAATTAAGGTTTGGGATTCTAAGCAAAGTGCTCAGGATAGTGCACGGCAAACTCAAACAAAAACTTGATTTTCAAGTTTTTGAATCTATCAATTTACTGAGCATTAAATACAAATATTATTTTTAGTAAATATATAAATCTAACAGGCATCCGATCTTACTTTAGACTTCGTGTAACTTATCATGAAGGCTGAAGTCAGATTAGAATTAAAATAGATTTTGTAATTAAAGCATAATACTGTAAATCGATAGATTCAAAAACTTAGTTTTTGTTTGATTTTGCCGAGCACTAGTTCAGGATCTCTGAAAACCTCATGGAAACTGAAATCAGAACCTTATATCTAATTTACATTTTGTATATAAAACTTCTCTATTTTAAAAAATTATATATAGTGTTCAACATCATAGACGCATTTTATAATTATTAATTATAAAATTAATTTTATAATAATATAATTTATAATAGAAAATTAAGAATGCTTATTAGCAACTCTAACTTTATATAGCTAACTATAACTATATTATTTTTGGTTTTAAAATTCAATATATTATATTAGTATATTTTTAATTTTTAGTATAATTATACAAATTAATATATAGTCTAGTTTAGATTATACAAATCAGATCTGTATTATTAGTTTATTTAATAGATTTTTATTTAAAAATATGAGCAAAGTTATTTATTACATATGTGATAAATGGCTTATATATCACTAATAATTTATTTATTATAATTATAAGACATTATTAATAATGAAGATTATACAGTAGCAAAAGCTATATTTAGGCCTAATTATCTGTTATCCTTTGCTTTGCAAAGGATAGTTGTTGTTTTTACTATGGCTAATGCCTCCACTTTAGCAATTTTTTTACTAAAGCTAAATAAAAAAATTACTTTTTTCAATTCACTCTAACCCTAACTAATCTCAAAAAAGATTTATTTTTAGTTCCAATTCTAACAGTTATACTGATTGTTTGGTAAAGCAATTTCACTTGTCATACTCTTTACTTTTGCAAACACTACAATAACAGGAAGCATGGTGTAAAGTATTATTATTAGATACAGAAGGCACTAATGGCACATTTTTGCTTTTTTTTTTTGTTTTTTTGTTTTTTTTTTGTTTTTTCAATTGCTGTCTTTATTTGTCTTTTTTGAAAGATGGCCTTTTCCAATATGTTGAAGTGGATCTTGAATATCTAATGATGCAATTTCAAAGATTTGATTGTGTTCTAAATTTGAATTATATTCTGTGATTTAATCATTATAATTTCTGAAACTTCATCATCTTCCATAATTTGATATTATCATTTTCCATAATTTGATCATAATTATCTTTTGTAATTTGATTGTAATCATCTTCTGTAATTTGATCATGTTCTGAACTTTATTATCAACTATAATATGATCTTGCTCTATATTCTGTTTATCTACTTAATTAAATTCTGTAGTACAATTATATATAACAATTATGTGAGGTTGACTTTTTTTTTTATATATATGTATCTATTCTTTAAATATTTTCATCAAATAATTATAATTATTAAAATCATTATAATTAACTGATTCAACACATTTACATACAAGACCAAGCAATGTTTCTTTAATAGATTGCTTATGACTAATTGTTTTTGCTGCAGTTTGTATTGGTGGTTTAGTTAATACAGAATTTCAAGACTCAGCAACATTCGAAAAAGAGGGTATACTGTATATAGCATTGAAACTTTATCTTTGTGTGACTTTCCTCTAACAAATAGTTTACCAACAACTGATAAATCTATTATTTCATCTTTATACTATTGTTTGAGAAT